TGCGGGGACAAAGGTCTCCAAATCCTGGCGGTGGCACAGAGATTCCCATTCACAATGAGATGGGACTGTGGATTAATTCTGGCCCAGCAGTGTGCTCTGAGCATTTCAGTGTCATGAGTCAAGCTCCAAACACCATGAGGTTGACTTAGAAACATGACATTCAAAAAAAAAGAATTAAGAGATTCCTTGTTTTTTTGGCATCTGACACCCAAGCTTTTAAGTTACTCTTGGGTCACGGTCTTCCCCGCACAGCCACAGCGTTGCAAATTGACTTTTTAATACAGGCAATCTGAGATTTTCACCTCCTGACCTGCCTCCAGGAACCAGAGTTTTAACTGCAGCATTAAACATCACAGGACTTTCAGTGAAATCATGAGAGCTGGCAGCAGTCCTGACATAGCTAGGAAGGATCTGCTTTAGGACATGGCTTAATACTAAATCCTAAACCTCTGATCTTGAGTGGATAAAGCCCAAATCTGATCTTTCTGTTCCCCGTGCCTCCACATTTTAACACTCTATATTACATTGCATGTAAAAGTGGTCAGAGTTGATCAGATGAACAGTGGCAATAAGACTTCAGGGAATGAAACCTGCAGTGGGGAGAAATAACTCTCTGTCTTGCAAATGGCAGCTAAAGGCCCATTAGTCCAACTCCAGGAGAGGCCATCCCTTTCCCAGCGTACAAAGCAGAGCCAAGTGTCTGCACCTAGCGCGGGGCGTGGGCTCCTGACAAAGCTCACGCTGGCTTGGAGCAGGGCTAGCTGTGAAAACGGGCGTCCTGCTCATCGCAACACCCCAGCTGGAGGGGCTGGGGCGGCCCGGTGCTGCCTGGGGGGATGCTGTCAGTTTTTCTGGTCCTCTAGGAAATTGTGGTAAATCCTTCGGGTTTGTAGCACATTCCTACATCCCTTTCTCACCTAACACTGTGCTGGGGTAGGATGCTGGTTTGTTCAGAAATGATATGAGATTTCTGGAAATAAGTTGGTTGACAACGTACCGTTTGACCTTCCACAGACTGTTTCCCCCCTCCAGGTTGTTTTGCTCTCCGGGGTCCAGTTTGGGGCACCCCTCACATTTCAGTCCAGGGGTTTGCCTGTCTTTTCTTAGCTTGTTGTGACATTCTTTTCTACTGGGTTGCTGCGTGGCAAATGCTCTTCTTGTAGCTCCGTTTATCCCAGCCCCTGAGGGAACTGCAGTGCCCGAGATGCTGTTTGGATCTCAGGTTTCTGTTTAAATATTTTGCCTGTGGTTTCTGGCTGTCTGAATCCCTCCAAGGACCCCTAAAAACTAACAACTCCCACTGCGGACAGCAGGCTCCGCTTCCACAGACACTTCCCCCCATACCTTTGAGTCTGGACAGCGAGTTCATGCCCTGCCCAACTCTGTTCTGCAGCCAGTCTGACAAACGCTGGCACAAGGACCCCCATGCAATGCGGGAGAGACTGCCAGCCCCCATGCGTGATACCTTGGCCGCTGCTTTGCTGCCAGGATGGATTTGACCGGTGAGCCTGCCCCGAACCACACATTTGTATTCCTGAGGCCCCTACTGCCGTGCTGCTCCTGGGACTGCCCTGTGCTAGCTTGGCAACACGCGTGCCCCAGAGCGCCGGGGAGTAACCTGCTGCACATTTCCTCCTGGTCAAATGACAGTAAAATAGGCAAGAACTGACAAATGAGGAAATTTGCAGGGAAAGCTGGCCTTCTACCCCCTATCTGTTAAGCTCATTAAAGGTAGCTTTTAGCATCAAACCAGACGTCCCGTGAACAGCTAAGAAAATACTGAGCGTCAGTGCTAGTGCTTAGATGGGGAAGTCGGACCCTTGGGCATGTCCTCTGTCAGCCAACCTTTCCAGGTGCCCTCTCTACCACTGATACACGGGCTGCGAGAATGGCTTTAGCAGGAAACATTTCCTGGGAAGTTGTTTCATTAAACCAATATAAATACGCATTACCATTTCCTATTCCAAGTGGTTATTCTGGGTTAAAAAGCAACTGGAATGTTAGGAATTATTAAGAGAGGAACAGAAAACAAAGCAGAGCCTCCCTACAAATCCACCTCAGATATCGTGCCTCCTTCAGCCCTGCTGTCTCAGGCAGATGTGGCAGAGCTAGAAAAGACATGAAGGTGACCAGAGGATGGATCAGCTTCCAGGCAGGGGACAAGGAGCTACACCGAGGTTCTTCTCCTAGAAAGGAGGTGAGCAGGGGAGAACACAGCATGGGTCTATAAATTGCAACAGGCATCAAGGAATGAATATTCACTCGTAATACTGGCCTTTGGAGGCAGTCAAGCAGACAGAAAGCAAACAGCAAAAAGCAACAGTGGAAGAAAACTCCAGCAAACGCTGTTAAACACAATGACGATACACGTGGCTAAAGGAAGAAATCACCGGTGCTGTGGGTTCAGTGCAGTGACTGACCAGGGCCACAGGCCTGTGCTGGTGTCCCCCCTCCCACAGGGACTCTTCCGACCCTGCACAGCTGCGCCTACATTTTTAAACCTCTCAGACAGCATCAGAGGTGTTATCCTGGAGACGGCTTTGGCTGGCCTGAAATAGGACAAGAATGTTTTCCAGGTTGCACAGCTGCCCCTTCCTGGTGGCCCCAGCCTGAGAGCAGCCGTCCCGGTGAGGGGCTCGGGGGGCAGGGGGCTGCTGCCACCTTCTGGGTAGGGGACCCCCGGACCGCCTGTGCGGCGCCGGACACCGCCTGTGTGGGAACCATCAGAAATGGCCCAACTGGGGAAAAAAATCTCCCAGGCAATGGTTAAAGCAGGGTGCTGAACCACGCCGCACAAACACCCTCCCCAAAGCGCAGCCGGGCTCTGCACAGCCCTATGCACGACAGCGGGGATAATTTTAGAGGTAATTATTCTGTGGTTTTAGTACTGTGGCAGAAAGGGGTATTTTATGCCTGTTGGAGTGAACTGTCTCTGTGCCCTCTCCCAGTATGTATTTAGCATGACACACTTTTTTGCTACTTATAAATTCAGCCCCCTTCTGTGCAAAGCCTGTTTCATCTCTTGCTGCATGCAAAGTCACCCAGCCCTGTGGGGGAACCAAGCTAGAAAAGAAGTGTAGTTTTTATCATTAAGCCCTCAATTTTAATTTAAGGTGTACTTAAAAAAATATAAGGTACAGATTACTGAATAACATCTATTTGGTGAACAGTATTGGGGTGCGCTCTGAACACCGAGGGGGTGCTGCACACTCAGCTGTTCTTTCAGGACTGAACGGCTCCATCCCTTTGCAACCCAGTTTAAGAAGCAATCAGGTTCTCTTAGCAAGTCTACCATCTTTTGTCAATATTTATAGTGAAGGTGCAACTGAAATCAGGGATATTGCCATTCGTGACACTGTTTCTTGTTCATCTTCCACGACATCTGGATTACTTGCATGAAGGGGTGATGCCTTCTCCCGAGTTCACTAACCTGGAAGTCAGTTTGCATTTGTTTCACTTTGGACACACTCGGAGCCAGGTCTGCTCTGATAATTTTGCCAATAACATTAAAAGCAAAAGGGTCACAGCAAAGATTTTACAAAACACGTATTTAAAACCTCCCACTGCGTTGGCTGTGCTGTGGAGCCAGCTTTGGGAGCAGCAAACTGCCTGAACGGCCAGGCCAGTGCCCCACTGCCTGCGGGTGGGCACCGACGGGGACCACGGCTCCCCCAAAGTGCCAAGGCAGCAGCCCACATGGCCACGCACACTGTGCCCCGCAGTGCCACACCTCAAGGCTGAACTTGTGCCAAAAGCCTGTTGAAGGAAGGGAAACAACCAGAGGTGACATTTGACAAGTTAGTTTTTTATTCAGTGCATTGGACTCGTACATCACCACTTTGTCAACTAACAACATTTCACACATTCCTACAAAACCAACGCTGAGTCCAGTCTCTTGTTAAAGATGATTGGTGTAAAACGTAAAGCAGTCTATCAAATATTTACTTTAATAAGTCTAGCTTACAGCCCAGTAAGAGGCTGTGTCCAGCACATTCGGTGCTGGGTTGCAGCAGTGGGTGGAGAATGGATCAGTGACTCATGGTTGGTGCAGGGCTTCATTAACAAATGTCTCGATCCAGCTCATTAACATCTCAGCCAATGTTTATCGGACTGCTGTAGAGCTTGGCCTCCCTCCTGCAGCTGCTAGTTCAATTCTGCCAGTGCTTTGAGCATGGATGGAGCTGCACCTACAAAATCCCTAATGCAGAACTACTGCAGCACTGGAAAACCTGATTTGGGCTGGGACAGCCTGCCTCCGTTCTGTGCCGAGGACACTCACGCCGGCAGCATGGCACAGCACGTCCCACTCCGTCCCTGCAACCAGGCCAGCAGGAGCAGTCAGAACAGCACGGCAAACCAAAAAGAAATGCAAGGTGCTCAGGCCTGACTATCGGGGCAGAGCGAGATGTTTTCAGGATGGAGGGGTCTCACACTGCAAACCTCCGGGCAGGGATGCCTGCACACACAATGAATCGGGCAATCAGGTGGATGCTGGGGAATGCGGGCAGCTGGAGCATCCCCGCTGGTGCCACTGCTGGGGCACGGCCCTCAGCCCCGCACGTGCTCCGCTCCCCGCTGTCTCCCATGTGGGCAGGCACAGCGTCCTCAACCCTGTCCCACCCGTGGGACAATGCAGGGAAGGCTCCACGGGTATGGCCTGGAGCTGGTCCCCTCTCCCTCTTGCAGGAGTCAGCCTGGGCAGCACAGGGTGCCCTGGCATGGGAACAGGGCTGGCGCCAGCCCCGCAGCTCCCCACAGAGCGCTCCCAGCAAATCCATCTCTGCTCATCCCACTCCACCACCCTGCCCTGTGCTCTGGCCCCAACTCTCATCCTGCCTCGTCCCTGCCCTCAATTGCTCATTCATTCTGCGTGTAAGGAAGGAGACGGCACATTGCCAAATTAGCTATCTCAGAGGAAATCTATCAAGGTTTATTGAGCTGCCCGTTATGGGCCCTGGACTGTTACGGGCAGTCCCTGTGACGAGCATGCGGCACTAAGGCATGGTGACCGTCCGTCCGGCACTCCTGGCTGCTGTAAAGCGCCTCTTATTCCTCAGACCAGAGAACCTCTCATCCAGCGTCAGGCTGGTCTGTAGGGGAAGGGGAGAGCAAGTCAGTCCCGGGTCTCGTGGCAAAGCACGGCCAAACTTGTAGCGGGGTATTGATTAGAGCCCATCAGTCAGGACGGTGCTTCACAGCCAGTTAGTCAATTAAACCACTCAGCACACGGAGACAAGGAGCTCGACAGACTGTGTGCGTCTGGAAAACCTCCAAGCAGTGCCCAGCCCCAAGACACTGGGCGTCCTCAGCAAGAACAGGAGCAAGCAGATGGCATTTGAGCACAAGGCATCAAGTAAAACCAAACTGTCCAGACAAGAAACGCCAGCAATGAAGAAGGTGGAGCAGGATTTCTGACCTGCACCAGGGCTCTTGGACCATCCTTCAGTGTGAAACATGGCACTGAGAAGGTCACCAAAACAAAAAGAGAGCAAAGCCCAGAAGTGCTGTGTGTCTCTGAGGAGTGGGGAGCACTGACAGTGAAATGGTCCCCCCCAGCCAGGACTGCTCACAAGGAACATCTCCCTGCTCCAAGCAAGGACACGGACAGGCCAACAGGGGCCAGCAGAGTGGGGAAAATTGGGCTGAGTCTGTAGCTGCTGAACAGTCTTCTCAGGTGCCTTCAATTTTGTGAGCAACCTAGCCAACACAGCTACAGGACTTTCCTCCTGGCTTATGCTAGATAAACCCAACTGGCAGCCCCGAAAACCTGAGCGTGATGTGAGCAGCTTAGTGGCAGGGCTGCTGCAGGGTGCAAGGCGCTGCCTGTCCTGTTGACAATCCTCTACCTGGTTGGCCATCGCGCGGAAGTTGAATCTCAGCAGCACCCCCTTGGGCTGGGGCTTGGCCACCCGCGGCGGGGGCCTCTGGCTGCGCAGGAACGGGCGCTTGGATCCAGGCCTGGGAAAAGCACAGATCTGCAGTCACTCAGGATGCTAAGGCAGCTCACTGCCTATCATCTGCCAACCAGCAAGGAGGAAAGGAGACTCCCACATGCCCCACACGTCCCACGGCACGTCTCACCGTCCTGGGTGAGTCTAAAGGGTGCCAGGAGAGCTGCTGTGCCTGCAGAGCTCCAGCACCGGGGACTGTATCACGTCAAGGCTATCATGTGGTGCGCCCTGTGCCCAGGACATGCCAAATGCCCTCACCCACCCTTCCTCCTGCCCCCAGCCAGGTGCCTGCAGCCCCGCCAGCTCAGCCCAGGGGTGAAGCTGCCCCTTCCAGTCTCTGTGCCCCTCTCCCACAGTGAGCGTGCGGTGTGGTGTCCCTTCGGCGTGCGCGGCATTACCCCCCAAAACACCCCACAGCCAGCACAAGCAGCCTGCCACCTCCCACACGCTGCCGGCGCTTCCATTTCTCTTAGTCCGGATAACAAACGAGCCGCACGGTAATTACCGTCTCCTTTCAGATACTCCGGGAAGGGAACGAGACATCATTTGCTAACCATTTCGGGTCTGAACCATTAATTGAGCACTCGTTATAGGAGAAGCGAAGCTGCAATAATGCTAAAGGGATTTGCAACGGCTTTTGTAGAGCTCCCATCCTAACAAATCACCTCATTTACTTACGCGCCGGCCTGGCCCGCCTGGGGATTAGCCACAGAAACCGTCAGAACTGCTCCGGGGCTGGGTTTCACTTGCCACCTGCCGAGACAGGGAGATGTATCCAGCTTCGGTTTAAGCATGAAAGAGCACGTCGTGTTTGCAGCGTGCCTTTGTTCACCAATTACCTTCTCATCCTTGGTGGTTTCCCTTCTCCATTAGCATCCATCTGCTGTGAAATACATTTAAAAAAAAAATTACTTAAAGAATTAGCTCTCAGAAACAATGATTCCTTTTCCAGTATTTCATTTGGTTGTATCTGAATAGCTCTTTTCTTGCATGTTGTCAAGAAATTTGCTAATTTGGGGTTTCCTGCTGGCACAGTGATCCGTATAGGGTGGCTTTACTTTGCTTTGCTTTTGCTGCTGTATAAGTAGCAGCGTTTACTTTTTATCACCTGCCCAGGTTTTATTTTCCAGCTGCCAGAATATTAAGCTGCATTAAAAATTGCCTGTCCTGCAAATACCTTCCTAGGAATACATTCATTGTTAAAGTCATCCATCTCCCAGTTACGTTTGGAAGCAAAGCTAGAACTGGGCAAAGGCTGGTAAAACTGAAGGCTTGTCACCATCAGCAGGTCACAGAAAAAATGCCTCGATACTGACCCCTCTCTGAAAGTTGGCTTTGGAGAATCGCTGCTGCATCCGCTTCTG